ATTTCAAAGTTTCTGTCAACAAAAAGGGATAAAAATTCAATATACTGTACCGTTCAATCCACAACAAAATGGAGTTTCAGAGAGGTTCAATCGAACCATTATGGAGAAGGCAAGATGCTTAATCTTTGACTCTGGTTTGGAGAAAATATATTGGGGAGAGGCAGTGCGAACTGCTGTCTACTTAATTAATCGATTGAAGACGAGAGTTTTAGCAAATGATTTAACTCCTGCGGAGGTTTGGTATGGAGAAAAGCAGAATCTAGACAAGGTGAAAATATTTGGCTGTAAGGCATATAATCATATTCCCAAAGAATTAAGAAAATCGAAGTTGGACCCTCACACACGAAAATTATTGATGATCGGGTATGCTGATAATGGGTACCGGTTACTAGATGTTGAAAATCAAAAGGTCGTACATGGAAGAAATGTAGTCTTCGACGAAGGAATAGGCGATACGAAACCTAGACGAATCTTACTCGACAGTGACGCAGAAGAATCTACGAGAGCTGAGAACCCCGAGGTAAACCAAGATGACATAGAGAACTTGAACGACAGGGAAATTCAGTCAGACAAGGACGTGGAGAAGAGACAACCAACTGTACGGAGGAGTGTGCGTAATAAGAAGCAGCCGAAATATCTCGACGACTATTATTTGGATGAAGAAGATGATTTAAATTTATTTGCAGCATTGTCAACATGTAACTTAATCACAGATGTTCCGAAAAACTACAAGGAAGCCTTAGAGGTCAATCAAGGTTGGGAGAAAGCGATACAAGAAGAGCTAACTGCATTAGAAGAGAACAATACGTGGCAACTTGTGAGAAAACCAGAAAATGAGACTGTCATTGACTCAAGGTGGGTGTTTTCTGAGAAGATCGTGGATAACGAAAAGAAGAAAAAGGCACGGTTGGTAGCACGCGGCTACAAACAAGATGAGGTAATTGAAAATGTGTACTCACCTGTCGCACGTATGCCAAGTTTAAGGTTTTTAATTTCTTTGTATGTTGAATTTGATTTATTTGTAATGCAACTTGATTTTAAGACAGCATTTCTTAATGGTACACTAAAAAATCCAGTTTATATGAAACCACCTGAAGGTTTAAAAATTGAAAGTTCTGGCATAGTTTGCAAAATAAATAAAGCCCTATATGGACTTCGTCAATCACCGAAATGTTGGAATTCACTTTTTAACAGTTTTATGATTAAATTAGGTTTTAAACGTTCTAAAAAGGATCCATGCCTGTATTTTAATGATCAAACATTTGTTTTAGTTCACGTTGATGATTTAATCATGTTTTCTAAATCTGAGGATAGCTTAACTTTAGTAAAAAACAAATTAATGGAAAGTTTTAAAATGAAACAATTTCAAAATACTTGTATAAATTTTCTTGGATTGCAAATAAGTAAATTTGAAGGTAAGGTTTATGTTTCTCAGAGTAAATTGATATGGAAAATCCTAAAGAGGTTCAACATGCTTGACTGTAAAAGTTCAAATTTACCAATTGAATATAAATTGCAACTAGGTGAAGCTAAAAATTGTGTCAGTCATGAAAATTTGCCCTATAGAGAACTTATCGGATCACTTATGTATATAATGTTAGGATCACGCCCAGATTTAAGTTTTTCAGTAACATATTACAGTCAATTCCAAAATAATTATACTTTTGAACATTGGACTAATTTAAAAAGGATTCTGAGGTACCTACTTGAAAAACACATTTGATCATGGTTTGATGTTTTCTAAAGGTAGTTCAGAGTTAAACATTAATGCATATGTCGATGCGGACTTTGCAAATAATATTAATGACCGTAAAAGTATTTCCGGATACGTCATTAAAATGAACAATAATGTTATTGATTGGAAAACAAGAAAGCAGTGCACAGTAGCGTTATCAAGCTCTGAAGCCGAATATGTAGCTTTAGCGACATGTGTTAGCAATTGCTTATTTTTCGGTCACATATGTCAAGAAATTTTACATCTTAATATTTTTCCGATTGTCATTAACGAAGATAATCAATCCTGTATTAGAATGGCATCAACATTGGAAACTCGTCGAACCAAACACATCGACATTAAACATCATTATATTAGAGACTGTGTGGAATCTGAAAGAATACATATTCAATATATACCCTCAAACGAACAGCAAGCAGATATTTTAACAAAATCATTGTCATTAAGTAAATTTGAATATTTTAAAAACTTATTAAATGTGGTTAAAGTTCATAATATCTAGGTTAAGAATTTTTATTATATTCTAAATGTTTTTGCCCTGTAGGGGAAATAGAAATCTTTATTTTTAAGGAGTGTATAATTGAGGGGGAGTGTTGATAGCAAGCAATTATACATGAGTTCTTTATTTTAACTGTAAGATGTCGCTGTAGTTTCAAAAAGTTGTGTTTAAGTAGCCGACATGTTATGATGACATTAAATTGCATTTTTAGTTTTGCGTACTTAATTATTTATTGTGCTTAATTCCTTAACCATACGCCTGAAGAACTTCATGATAAAGCGATGGGGTATACAAGAGGGAATTTTTTGTTAAATATTGACTTATGAAAAAAATTTATTCTTCATGATATTTTTTGCTTGCTTTGAAAGTACCAATAACGTTTCGATAATCTAAAATTTATTTATAGAAATCTGGAAAAATAATAAAATTAATTTTTTTATTGAAAGTTATTCTACATTATGATCAAAATAGCGTATAGGCGCGTACAGACCGAGTTTCCAACGCAAGCCTGTGGTTACAGATTTGGAGGTGTTGGGATTGGTGTGTACCTCGCAAGCCAACGGTTTCCAACCGCTTCCAACGACGCTGTTGGCGTTCGATTGCGTTCGCTCGGTGAGCGGTACATCAAAGGGAAATTTGATGTGGTCTGGACAGGATTTGTCGCGATTTTAGTTTTTAGTCGTTTGTCTGACTTTTTAAAATGTCCACCATCTTCTTTTTGAAGTTCTTCTAGTAAGTGACTGCCACTGTACAAACTCCTATTTTTAAATGGTGTTGTTACCCACCAACGCCTAGGCCGTTTTTTCTTCTTTTTCTTTGAAATTAAAGAATTCATTATTAAAAACCCCGCACTCGCCAGCAGTAAATCGTCCTCGTCGCTTGACATTGTTTGACAAACCAGCAGCACCGGTTACCGAACTTTACCCAACACGGTCCCACCAAGTCCAACTCAAATCTTAAATTTTGGTGTGGACGAGGGCATTCCAATCGTTTCCAACGACAAACGCCAACGTCACATGTGCTTGGATTCGTTGGCTTGGCGTTGAAATCCGGTCTGTACGCGGCTTATTGCTATCAAACCACAAACAATCGAAACGTTATTGGTACTTTCAAAGCAAGCAAAAAATATCATGAAGAATAAATTTTTTTCATAAATCAATATTTAACAAAAAAATCCCTCTTGTATACCCCATCGCTTTACACACTGTATAATATTTTCGCAATAAAACTAGCACAATCGTAAATGACACTGCTTGAAATAAGTCAACATTTTGTTCATAACAAAAGAACGTTTTGTTTTTGCATAGCACTCTTTGCAGAAAATGAAAATTGTATTTTTAGAAAAAATGTGATACTGAACCACCATGTGTGATATATCGTTGTAGAGAGAAAAAAGACCTAATTTCAAAATGTCAAAATCCAAAACCGCGCCCATAAAAAAAAACTAAAGTTGCCACGGTTTCTCCGTTATCTAGAAAGTTATTAAAAACGGGATGCCATATTCGAAATCTCCATTAAAAAGTGTCTGAATGTGTTAATTAGAAATGTCTAGTGCAATATTAGTTTACATTGAAAAAGTTAAAAATGAAAATCAGAAATTTTCAATTTTTTGCCATATTTTCAAAACTATTGAAGATATTATAAAATTATTTTTAGATTATTATTCGGCACGAAAATTCGCAACTTTGCCCTAATTTAACCAAGTTTCTATCTCTGAAGATAAGCGAGATCCCCATAGTGGCACTCGAAAAAATGGACACCGTGTTTATTTGCATAATGGTTATTAAATTATTGCGGATGCGGACGATTCACAATCGAATGGAGAAACCGTCCCCGTCGTCGGTCGGATAAAAATTTAAATTTGTATATATCAAAAATAGAGTTGTTGGAAAAGGTACTCGCAAAGAGAAGCTGGAAGGTCTGGGCAAGACGTAAATAGATGTCGCGCGGGTCAAAATCTGGCTAATAAACTCTCTCGATGGTAAAGCGTGAAACGTTGCGTCGCAAGAATTCTGGTCGATATGCAGCTAGAATCTATGACACGCGTGTGGGTTTTGATTAACTTTAGGTAACTGCTTCATCTTAGCAACGTACCATAATTTCTAGCGAGTTTTTCAACAAAAAAAAAACTGTTTCGCAATAACGTAACAATCATTTTTAATATTAATGATTCCTTGGTCTCTATCTACCACTTTCCTTCCATCCAAAACCATACGAACTAACCTATTTACCGTAACAAAGTAAAAGGAACTACAGTATTACACACTATAATTTATTATTGCTACTGATAAGGTTGCTTTTTGGCAACTATGGCTTACTAGATTTTTAATATTTTTATGACTCAGAAGCGGAACCGGAGGAAGACGTACATCAGGAACCTGAGGAATTTTCAGAAGACAAATGCAATCTATTTTCTTCGGCTAAATATTGCGAGTTACTTAAAGTATGCTAAATGCGGATACAGTGCTTTGATGATTACCTTTGTAGATAATTGCAGAAAGCGAAAATGAAGAACAGTTCTTATTTAAGAACTACAACAGAATTGACTTAACAGCATTGCCGCCAAAGCAATATCTAGAGGAAACGGTTGTTCCCATACTGATGCCAGCTTTACAGTACTTAATCAGCGAGCGACCCCCTGAACCCATAAATGCCTTATGCGTGTATTTATTAAAGTATAAGGCCGATTTTGAGAAGTACTGTAATACTGAACCACCCCAGCAAGACCAGGACGATGAAACCGAAGCCAAGAATTAATGTACTGAGTTAGTAAATAAACACGTTTTGCTTTATTTCTACAAATGAATGATGAATGGTGATAAAATATAAACGACAAAGTTACGGAATACAAGGAGGTTTACTGGATGGGGAACTTATGTCGTATCCACACACACATCTGCGACTCCCTTTGCCATCTGGTAAACATATGTGATTGACCGGACACTGACTCTTGTAGTATTGGCACACGTTGACTAACCCCAAGCAATGTTGAGGGACGGCCACTAACCCGTACAATTTGTTGGTACCAGCAAGGGGCACATTTAGCGGTTTCAAACGTTCCAGTGTGTGTTTGTTTACGCGTTCAATTTTTTTCCTAGAGAACATGTTCTAGAGTCATTTCCTACCAAAGCATACTTACGAAATCCAATCCGACCAATAAATGATTTCATCTGTGACTGTTATTCCAAATGGATAGGTGCAGTTTTCTGCAATAGTGTGCGCATACTTGGAGTCAATATCGAGACACATAATCTTCTTCGTACCCGCATCCGCGTAACAGATACGTTCGGTATCAAAATCGATAACCAATGAGTTTGGTAGCTTCACACTGTCACTTTTTAAAAATATTTCACGCCCGGTACCGTCTGCATTCGCCCACTCAATTTTTGGATCATCCCTGTCCCAGTCGCTCCAAAAGATTTTTCTAAAATATTAAATTTAAAAATTTCGAAAACTGCTAATATGCTTACCCTCTCTGGGGATGTACTGCAATTCCACGTGGATTAACTAAGCCAGTTTTAAATAGAGTGGTTCTTAATTTTGTCTCGATATTGGCTACTTCGATGGTGTCTTTAGTCGAATCAGTCCAGTAGACATTTCTAGACACCCAATCGATACTTATACCTTCAGGTGATCCAACATCTGTAATTAAAAACATCGTATCTGTTATAGATGAAGAAACGGAGGTAGATTTGTATTTATCTCACGTTTATTATACGTATATAATACCGTGAGTGGACCGAGATGTGACCACTAATGTGAATCGACCTTTACGTACAAAACGAGAAGCGTGACGAAAGTGTAAGACAATAGGAGCAAGTATAAATTGTGCACAACTCTTGTGCAGATAAAGGTTTTTTTAACCGAAATAGCTTTTGTTTGTGACCAATAGATATATTTGTTGCAGACGTTTCAATCGCCCTTTGTGAGTACCCTCTTCCGACAATCCGTTCTTGAGGTATAACGGCTATGGTTGGTAGAAATTAATTCCTTTCGTTGAGACCTTTCATTAGAGTACCATGGAGGATAAATCCAGTTCCACACCCCCTTCCCCTCCTCCCCGTACTTTGATAAGAGACAGAAAGAACGTAAGTAGTTGGTAGAAAACGACCCCCCCCCCATGTCAAAAGAAAACCAGTGGGCGATGTAAAGAGGATGTAAAAAGGAGGTAAATCAGGTGTCATGAAGAAAATGTCACAATGGTGTGAAGAAGTAGGCTGGTAGGCATGACGGCGAGAGGGGATAATAACAAAAATGTGGTGGTAAACAAGCAAAACAAACTAGTCAAAGAAAAGTGAAGCAGGAAGCGTGAAGAACAATCGAGAGAGGTATAAAAAAAGAGTGGCGTGAAGAAGACTTAAAAAACTGTCAAATAAGCGTGAAGCGGATATCAAAGAGCCATAAGGCAGGCGTTAGCGTGATATAAGACAGAAGGGGGGGGGGGACATTTCAAACGAGCAATATGGAAGGCAGAAAAAGGAATAGAAAAGAAGGTTTGAAAGATGCGTGGATAAACAAAACGGTAGCGTGAAAGAGACGCGTAGGATGCATGATGAGAGGAGGAGAGGACAGAATTCCTGGTACTTCAAAACGTGTATTTCCGTTAAAAAAAGTGCGGGTCATTTTTTGCTAACGTGCGGGTGGTAAAAGAGCACAAAAAGCACGAGAAATGCGTTAAAAACATGAACAGGGTGGAGGTAAATGTGCAGCAACCGGTCATTAAGAAGGTTTGAAGAATATGCGAAGGATATTAAAGAGGAGATGCCAAAATGACGTTGACGAGTCTACAAGACACAAGAAGAAAGTGCGCGATTGAAATAGGTACGATGGGAAGGGGGAAGTGGTTACAGAAATGTGAAGTATGGAAACCTGGAGGAAGCACCAGTTGTAAAAAATAAGGAGTGTGGGCGCGTAATATGAAGCAAGCGTGAAAGGGTATGAGATCTGAAACTAACAGGAACTCCTTTTTTTAGATACGCACATGTACCTCGGCGCTGTAAAAGATTTGCGAGAAGAAAATGTGAGCGAAGCACCAAATAAACTTGATGAAAGTGCGAAGAAATGGTAAAATGGGTGTGAAGGGTAGATAGATCGTGAAGGATGTGCGAGGGAAGATTGAGGCAGGTATGATGAGGGAAAGGGTTAAAGGAGATATTAAACAATGATGGGGAAGACTTGAAGACGTAAAGAAACCGTGAGGGATGCGGAGATTAAAAGGGAAAATGCAAAGGAGGAGAAATGGCAGTATGATAAGAGAAGAGTGAAAGGAGAAGTGGCGAAGAGTAATGGTGAGGAAGACTTGAAGGAGATCTTAAGGTAACGTAAACAAGATGTGATAAAGACGCAACGATGCGATGGCGTGAATTATACGTCACGTAGATTTGAGGGAATTTAAGGAACTGAAGCGATAATGCAAAAAAGATGTGAAACAAGCGCGGAAAAGGGGTAAATGGGAGCTCATGAACTGAAAGAAGAAATGAGGGAGAAATGAAGAGGAGAAAAGAAGAAGAAGGAATGCAGGTTGGAAAGAGATGTTAAGAGACTGTAAAGCAGGCTTAAAGGGGGATGAATAAGATGTGAAACATTAGTTCTTTAGTTATTTTTATACTTGAATACAAAATTTTTTTGATATTAATATTGTTAAATTAAAAACCTACATTTTCACATGTACAGGGTGAGTCAACAATTGCGCAGAGTAACTTAATGCCTTGAAGATAAGATTTTTCGATAGAGTGCTTTTGTATTATGGTATGGTTGAATATTCTCCACATTTTAAAAAATATTTGGAATTATACAGGGTGCGCCCATAAAGTAGGACGCCCAAATGGTACATTTTTTAAATAGAATCCCCTGTATATGAATGCATTTTTGAATTTTACGTGTAACTGTACGTCTTTTTTATTATATGGTTAATATCCGAAACGCTAGTAGTTTTAAAGATAATTCGATTTTTATGAAAAATTGGGCATTTGCAAGCGTCAGTATATATTGTCAAAATTATTACTTAAATTTATTTTAGCATATGGCTCATGAACCATATACAGGGTGGTGACTTGCGCAACGCATCATAGGGATTTCAATGTAAAATTCATAACATGCGATTATTGGCTCCCCAAATTATTTTAGAGCAAAAATGTATTAAGTTTTTTTGTAGAAAAAAATTTTTTACGTCAATCAACCATATTAGTTTTCAATTTTTTGTATAATAAAGACGGAAAATTGGAAAATAAAACCCACATCTTTTTCAATAATCTGTGACGCCATGGAATTTTATAATACAAAAACTACGTCAATATCCGTCATGCCATGGAATGTCTGCTATAAAACAAATCAAATTCTATCAAAAAGTATTATATTTAGAACAGCGAATTCAACATAAAGAAAGACCAAATTACTAAAAACGGTTTCCTAATATAACAATTTACAATAAATGTTCGAATAAGTCATTATTAACTGCAATACAGTAACCAAGTCGATCATAAAATCCATTTCGAACTGCTGCTAATTGATAACTGGATATCTAGCTTTTTGTTTTAGAAAATTCCATGGCATCGCAGATTATTGAAAAAGATGCGGGTTTTATTTTTCCAATTTTCCGTCTTTATATGAAAAAAATTGAAAACTAATACGGTTGATAGACGTAAAAAAATGTTTTGCTACAAAACACTTTCATACATGTTTGCTCTAAAATAATTTGGGGAGCCAATAATCGCATGTTATGAATTTTACATTGAAATCCCTATGATGCGTTACGCAAGTCACCACCCTGTATACGATTTAAAAAACCGTATAGTAATAAGTAGACAACAAAAACTCATACGAAAACACCTTGACACTACAATACAAATTAAAAAAAAAACGTATGTGTTTCGACAACAAAGTTATCATAATCAGCGAACAATTGGAGAGTAAGTACAAATCTTATTGTACCTATTTATACGTATTAATTACAAACGCAAATGAGAGTTTACCAAATCACGCACTATACAATTACGAGTTTTCCTTTAACCCTTACTGCAGACGAGCTTCCATGCCACTGCGCCACACAGGCCGGCAATAAGGTTTGTATTCTCTTTGCTGTCGAAACGCCCACGTTTAATTTAATTCTGGTGTCCTGATGATTTCTTTTTTTAGTTACTCGAACGGTTCTAAGGGCTCTAGTGTCCCGAAAACTAGACAGTTTGCCCGGCTGGACACAGCGCGGAACAGAGGCAACCGTCAAATTCACGTTTTCTTCAATTTGTCCATTTTTCATGACCTTTCTCATGATGTATCAAGTTCAAGAGTGATATCACAATTCAAAATTTAGGAATAGGGCCCTTACTTATATCATAGTGTGTTATATTATGTTAAAGAATACTTAATAATTACTCTTTGATTATGCTTATATGATTATATCTCCCTAGATTCTACAGAAATCGATTTCCCCCTGTTATCATATGTCTAATTGGAAAAAGATGTGGCTCTTTGAAAGTTTTAATAGTGTCATCCTGTATAGTAGTGTTTCGTTTTACTGGGTGCAAAATTCTAACGAAGTGTTGATTATGGTATGTACTTACCATCCACAACGAAATCCAAAACCGCACTGCCATTGTAAGTTGAACTTTTTATAACTCCTCCAATAATATCACTCCAATATACTCTGCCTACTAAGCAGTCAATGTCCAATCCAACGGCAGTTTGCATTGCATTAATATGTGTTAATTTTGCAGACTGAGCATTATCAAACGGTATGCGTAACGTAGCTTTTCCTTGATTAAGGAACAGGAAGTTGCCTTCTGGTCTTGGAGATTCCTTGCATATCGTACCATTACCCGTGTAACCGGGCTGGCATTCACAAGTGTATTTGAGTTCGGCATTTTTTACACACATTGCCCGAGCGTGGCACATGTATGGATCATTGTGACAGTTGCGCTCTAAATAGCAAAACATTCCATCGCCATTGAATCCATCATTGCACACACACCGATAGTGCCCAGTTTCTTGGTGATACAAGCAGCGCGCTTGGGGATCACAATTATTTACAACATTACACGGTATAGGTTTTGGCCTACACTCTGTGATTCCATCCCCTTCATATTCTGCTTTGCATCTACAGTAGCTGATGTGTTGAAGTTCGTCATTGAAACATTCAGCGTGCTCTACGCAAATACCGCCTCCACAGGTTCCTTCTATGCGTACACACTGTTGTTGGGAATCGCGATCTAGTCCTTCCTTACATATGCACTCGTATGCTCCGATAGAACTTGAATACGCACACTGCTCATTCAGTGGACATTGATCATGGGAGATACATCCTCCTGTAAAGGCACATTGATTAATTTAAGGCTCTCAACAATACTGCCCACCTTTACTACACTGACCCCCATTTCCTCGATATCCAACGTTACATACACAAATTGACTTCTTCAGATGATCCTCGTAGATACATGTCGCATGCGGATCGCAATCAATCTCTGTAGTACAGGGTACCTCGGTTTCAACGCAGTAATAACCATCCCCATCAAATCCAATGTTACAGATGCACTGATGGTTGTTCGTACTTAATTCGAAGACGCACTGGGCGTTTCTGTGGCAATTGTTGAGCACGTTGCAAGAAACTAAAATAGGAAACCGTTTAGAATCGCCTTCGAAACTCTTCCTCATTTACTCTTAAAACCGGAAAAGCCCATTGTTTCTAAAGTACCGGCAAACTTAGGTAGGCAAGAGTTTGTTAGCGCCTCTAACTGATAGCCGCGAGGACAAAAACATTGTGACTTGAAACACTGAGCTTCAGGTCGTGATACTATAATAGAAATACGGCGGTAAAAGCAACGTACGGCAAAGGCAGAAAACCACAAGGTAATCAGTTCTGGCTTGCAATATTTTGATCAAAAGCTGTCAGTTTCATCCCATAGGATTCAAGATGGTTTCATTACAAGTGATCAATTGCCCTGTAGTTATTCATCAAGTGGCAATAAATCACCATTGGAAATATCATTCAATTCTAATTTTTCTACAATTAACCGAAGAAGAATAATATCATCAGAAAAAGCCGCCTTCTTTTCTTAACGCTCGCTTGTATGACTTTTGTAACGAGAGTCCGCTAACGCATTGAAATTTCTTCGATTTTTATTTTTAAGTGAATAGTTTCCGAGTGCGATCCTGACATGTCTCCAAAAAAACAGAAATTTATGAAATGGGGAAGACTGTAGGTGTAGGGCAAACCAAAAAAAAATAATTCTGAAAGAGCACCACTAGAGCACGCTTTCTAGGAGAATACGTTGCATCTGGAAATAATGACTTTATAGCTAAGTGGATAGAAAGATCTTATAAAAGACTATGGTGTGCCAGAATTCAAAAATTTCAGATCCAGTGAGGTTTTATTATCAAAAGATGAAGAAGTGGAATTATTTGTTCTATTTTCGTCTGTAGGGTTTCATAAACGTTAAATTTGCGTTGGATAGCTTTAATTTAGGTAGTGTCGAGGAAAGTTAGGGTATAATTTTAATTTGTAAGGTGTTTGTAATTGCTTTTAAAAAAATTGTCACGTGTGTTTATGAATTCGGTAAATTTTGAGTTTCGTAAATTTGGGCAAGCCGCGTGATTATTTGTAAAATACAGTATTACTGGACAACGAGGTGGATTGCACGATTACCTTTGTGGCTTTCTTTGCTTGTTATAATTAAAAATGTAACAATTACATGGTTCCGTTTCGGTTTCTATCTCCGGAGTAGTAATCTCGTTGGTGGTTGTCTCTTTTTCCACAGCTAATACACAGTATTCTCCTTGCCTTTCGTAACCGTGAGGACACCTACACGAACCAAACTGGCAGTGTGCTGTTACAGGTTCTTCGGTATATGTTTGTATTGTAGTAGGGCGTAATGCAGAGTCAGGTTCGCAGTAATACCCATCGCCGATGTAATCCGGTAGACATTGACAGTAGTAGCTGTTCGTGAGTTGATCTATTGCACAATATCCATACGGTGAACAATTATTTGCAATGTGGCAACTGCGATTGATAATCGGTACGCACACTTGGCCATTTCCGGTGAATCCAGGCAAACACTGACAGTATGCGACACCGTTGTCTACGCATTCCGAGTTTTCAGGGCATCGTACGTTTCTGCAATTCTGCGCATTTTCACAATAGTAACCGTTACCCTCAAATCCGGGGTTACAGGTGCAAGAATAACTACCGACTTGATTGACACATTGCGCATTGTAATCACACTCATTTAAACCTTTTTGGCATTCATTGACGTCTTCGCATACAGCCTCTCCGTTTTCTTTGTAAATATATTCGAATCCGGGGTGACAAGCGCATATGAACGAGTCATTTTCTACCACGCATGCGCTGTTGGTGCCACACACTGCTTTCCCCTCCGCACATGGATCAAAGTCTGCAGAAAAGTTGATTAAGAAAACTGCAATGCAAATAAATAAAACTCACCGCCAACAGGACTCACTTTACTGCTCAGACCAAATCTAGCAAGCTGCTCCTTGGACTCATAACTGATAAAATTTTTTGAACTTTTGACTCTCCACGTTGTACCTACAGGAACCGCGCTGTATTTGCAATAGTCAAAAATAACAGATTGATCCAAAGAAAATTCAATAGTAACCGAATTTCCTTCCAAATTGTTGTACGTGAAACTCTTTGCGGATGACGACTGTAGTATACCGGGCCCAGTTAGGGTAAACTGTTCTTCGTAATCGTCCATATTAACTTTCGCCTCCGGCAACAGCTGAGGTATATCGCCCTGCAGCTCAATATCTAAACGTAACTGATCGTACACGTCCAGTCCTAAACCTTTCTGCTTAATGGTTACTTTATGGTTAGTATTTTTGAAAATGATTGTTGCGGTCTGATTGAAAACACCTCCAGTCAGTTGAAAACCATTGACTGAGTCTGCAACAGGTTTTGCAAATACCCAACCTAGTAATCCTCCAACGGTGTACAGCGATTGAAAGCTGTGCGCTATCGGTTCGGGAATTTTCGATATTGCTGTGTACGCTCTTCCATCTACCATTACGATGTAGGACTGAAGATCTAAGTTGCTCAATTTTTCTCCGTTAATTTCTCCATTCACTTTTCCATTCACTCGAATTGGAGCATCTGAAACATTACCAAATGTAAGTAGGTATAGGCGACCAAAGATTAACGGTTTACAATATAACAATTTTTCGGTGTCCACAATTGACCTTTTTTGTATTTATTTGTAAATTTCGTTTTACTCTTTCCGAATCGCACTTTAAATTAGAGATAAAATGACACATTATAGGGCGTCCCTTCTAAAGAAAATGATTAAGGGTACAAAGCTCTTTTATAGTTTTGTATTGTTGTCGGTCCGCCGATGGCCGAAAAATTATTCCCTAATAATATTTGACGCCCCTATCCCTCTACTCAAAGACCTAAGCGATGCGATATTTTCCCGTCGTATATCCAACTTTAAATCAAAGATGCCATTCATTATACGAGACCTAGAAATTTCTATCGATTGCCCTTTTCAATCATTTTGATCAGCCTAGTGGATCAAACAGTTTTTCGAGTCTAAACGACCAAGTGGTAGCCCTTAGTATTGAATATTGATGCATTTTTCTTATATTCAAAATGAGTCGATCCTTTAAAGGTGTTTGGTAATGTAGTTTTTTAATCAGTTAAACAAAGAATCAGTTATTTACTTTGATCGATTTAAAAAATCAAAAAAGAAATTGAAATGTGTAGTGTTCATGTGCTGTCAAGTGTTTCCTTCGATTCAGTATTAGATAATGAGAATCCTTTTATTTTTATGTTGTAAAGTGTTAGTAAAACAGGTAGTACCCATTTTCTTTATAAATCAAGGAAATGCCAGAATTCCAAGAATCTCCCCTACCCAACCTGGGTCACACGCACCCACACTTTCGTAAGCAGCCAATGAAACTGGAACGGCTTATGAAACTTATCCAAGCTGGATGAGGACCCTTCCAACGACTATTGGAGTTATAAAAAGATGAAGATTTCCAAGCAACGATTTACCTAACAGTTTAGGGGCCCACTACGAAAATGCAAAGCACTTTGCGAGAAAAATCCCTCACGGATACAGATTCCGCAATTCTAGGGCGATGACGCTACATGGGCTTCCATAGCGTACCAAAAATAAAGCGCGTTAAGATAAGAAACGATTGTTCAAGCAGATAAGAGTCGAAACGTGCTGGTTCTAAAAACCGTTGCTACGGAGCACGAGAGAGGCACTCTCCGCTATATCTGCCAATGCAGAAAAAAGGCAGGCTACGCCGAGTTCTCTGGGGAGGGCCGTTTCGGTTTTTCAAATCGGGCTATGAAAAATTTGGTGGGAGTGCAGGATTCTTCAGCAAGCTATCGAGGTGAACCTATGTAACTCAAGCGCGACATTTTTACATCGCGTAACATTTATATTTGTATTGAGTCAAAACGAGTTCGTACCATCGAAAGATTCAAGAGAACTATTAGCCGCGGTAACGTACGTTATATTTTAGTGCGAAAGTTGAAATTAATTACTATAATTGGAGTGGTTAGTTAAGTTGAAAAACCAGTTTATTAACCAAAGTTGTGCACTTAATTTTTTTATTCGAGGTGCTAATAAAATTATAAATAAAGCGCCCACCGGTAAAAAGGTTAAAGACAATTAATTCGTTTGCTGCAAACCCTAAGTTAGAAGCGTAAAATTTGACATACTGCGGAAAATTGGTAATTTATAACCAGGAATAAATCAAATTTTAACTAATAAACAGTGAGTAAGTAACCTGAAGCAGAGTTTGTTCCTGAATTAAATTGCGTCAACCACCTTTCGTAATTAACTTTCAACGAGTAACCAAATCTTTTTCTATCAGTACAAAAGGTTGAAAAGATTGTAATTCTATCTATGTAATACAGGCGTAAGACGTTCCATCATCTAATTTTTTAAGTTGCTGTTCAGCGCCATATTAGAGGTTTTATGAAAATCTTCCCTATACTCCCTATGATAGGTAACTGAAGACGACATTCTATACTTTACCTTTTTTAACACAAAATTTGCCATTTCCATAGTATAATTCCCGACACGAGCAACAAAAGCCTTCGGCATGGTCTATACATTTCGCAAATCCGTGACACTGACTGGCACCTTTTTCACAAGATTTGGGCACGGTGTTGTCAACCACTGCAACAATTTGGCTATAGATTTGTTCTCATATACATAGATAGTATTGTAGTGGGTACCGTTATTATAAGTATCCGGTTCTTCGATATTTGCATCACTGTCTATTCTACCAACCCTATAGATCCACTGACCGGGCACGTCGGTGTTAGACCATCTGTAACAATCCATTTTTTTAAAAGCTAACCATAGTCGAGAACGTACCTTTCTATATTTTTTATTTGATCTGTACCAGATCCATGAAGTACATAGAATCTGTCGTCAGCACCAATAAATCCGGCCTGAGCACGCGCATCGGGTAAACCACTGTCCGCTCCAGTTCCTTGAATCCATTGAATGCCATTTTCCGGATACAAAAACTCTACGAAGGAGTCATCGCCATCCGAAATAATTACAACTTGAAAAGTGTTCAGTTTATCGGTACCATTTCTGTGATATCCTACACGCGACCAAGTAGCAACAAACAAACTGGTCGCCAGAAAATCTCCAGAGTACGAAAACGCTTTGTGCACGTTTCTTGAAGCTCTGGCAATTAGATCCGCATTGCTAGTTTCATAATACGAAATAGTTCCCGTTTTACTGATGTCAACGTTGGAGTATAGAGGCGCGATGACCGGATAGTCCAAAGGGAATTCGATGTTAAAAAAAGTGGGAATATCTGTTTGAAACGATAGCAGCCCATTTGAATTGACCTAAAAATCAGCTAGTCCTAATTCTTGTTTTGAGACTTCTCGGAAGATCATTGACCACTTTACATATTTAGGATGAATGAATTGTGACCTTTAGCATAAACGCTGATAGCCTAACATTATTTAAGATTATTTTACGATAGTTTCACATGAAGAAATTACAAAATGTAGCAATTACTAATCAATAAGTAGGTATTAAAATAGACTCACAAATATTGAAGAATACACCTGCCCATAAAACACAATAGGCACTTTAAGTTTTATTTCGGAACTCGATACTTCATCGGCACTATTTAGAAAACTACCTATATTTTCGTAATCGTACAGTAAATCGGCAGGAAAGCCACGTGTAACAAGTAACAAATTTAAAAAAAGCCACAAAAAGGTGGTGAAGTTCCCCATATTAGCACTTTACCACTGACATTCAACTTCTGGATACTTTATCATTGCTCAAACAACGCCCTATCTGTTAAGTTCACAGTTCAAATTCTTTATATCTTTCCATATTTAGAAATTAAGAATACTTGAATTCATAAAAAAAATACATCTTTAAACGCTTTATTAGGTTATAGGCTAGATACAGAGAAAGTGTTGAAACACCAACCTAGAATCAGAAACGCTTTACGAAATATTAGGCAATTTTTTTACACCAATGCCAATGTTATTCGGATTTTATCATGTAAAGAACAATGTTTATCCTAAGCAAGTCCTCAGCACTATGCCCTTTGGGTGCAAGATGGTTTGATGTCGATTAAAATTGTGCACAACTCTGGCAGATAAAGCGCATTTTTTTAACCGAAATAGCTTTTGTTTTGACATCACCAATGGATATATTTCTTGCAGACGTCGCAATCGCCCTTTGTGAGTACCCTCTTCCGACAATCCGTTCATGAGGTAGGTATAAGGAAATTTAGGGAATATACCCGATCACGATAAGAGGTCGAGGAGGAGGGCTATGGTTGGTAGAAATTAATTCATTTGGTTAAGACCTTTCATTAGAGTACCATGGAGGATAAAACTAGTTTCAACAGAAAGACGGGCAGTAGTTGGTAGAAAAAAACGGTTCCTTAATTAGAATACAATGAGAGATCAAATTGATTTTTAACCCCCCCTCCCCCCCAGGCCCCGTCGCTCACTATTCTCGAAAAAGAGTCGCACGGGAAAGTTATAGTTTGTACAAACCAATTTATTTCGATGAAACCTTTCATTAGAATACCATGACACCTACAAGTAGTTCGAAACGGTAGAAATGGGTCGGGACGGACGGACGGACGGACAAAACGCAAACAATAGCACATTTTTTTAACTCTTAAAAAATGCGCAAAAAAATTACTTAACCAATAAGTAGGTAGTCACTATACTTAACCATACGGCACTTAGACTGTTCTTGGAGATTCCGGAACCACAACGAAGCAATCAATTTTTAATTGACGCATTAAATTAGTTGTTGAAAGCTCTTAAATAATCGTCAGTACGAATTTGTTCTACAAAATTCTTGAGTATGACTTTGAGTAAATTTGAAGCTATTCGAACAAGCGGTAACTTAAAAAAAGTAAAAAGTAGTACACTGGTCAATCTCAAATCTGGGCATTAAAGCAATTTCTAGTTCGTTTTTGATCCGCTAATGTCACTCAGCTTCTGAAGTCAGTTTGTTTGAAATCTTGGGGCACAGTGAGTTGTGGAATATTGGTCGGTTGATTCGAATTACAGGGAGATTTTGTTTTGTTTTGCAGACGTCTAGTACGTAGCGTGAGTTTTGCAAAATCAACAAAAGTTAATTAGAGGACCCCCTTCTCGTATAGCGTACGCATCGTCCGATTTATTATTATTATATTTATAACATACAGCGAATGATCCGACCGGATCAGGTACTCCCTTCTCGGAATATAGTTAAACGACTCATACGAAGACACCCCCCCCCCCCCTCTCGTATATTGGTAAGATACAAGACCTGCAGTCCGCATGAGACGAGCACGCAACAGATACAGCGAAGAATCGGACTGTATGCGGTACTTACTTCATGGAATAGTTAAATCGAACCATACACAGCGACAGCACACTGATAAACTTCTTTGTGAATACATAAATAAATACCTACTTAATAAACAATATGGAGACAATATAATCACCTGTACAGTATAACAAACATGATTCGGATAACGGTATATACCTAAACAAAAGCTTGAAGTATGCCATGCTTCTATATCAATATTTTAGTCATTAGCAGCCCTCTAAGTTAACATGGGGAGCACAATCTCCAAAAAACATTTTTCCCATGTTAATTGCCTATCTTCGGGTCAGATTTTTAAAATAACGGCATCGAATTGGTTTAACTAACTTATTTTTATTAAATTCTTCCAAAGACCTTCTGTCAGGTTTTATGACAAAAAAACTGAGAAAAAAGTGTCAAAAGGCAAAAAGCTAAAATATTTTTTCTCGGCAAAATTTTGGTAGTTCACATTAGGCATAAAAGATGTAAGACTGTCAAAAACTTTTTTAGCTTCCTAGCATGAGTTAGGTAGATAGCCGTTTTTTGGACATGTCAAAATTGTGTAATTGTAAACAGGAACAGGTAGATTGTCAGGCTGAAACTGAAGGTACCTTGTACCATTGTATTTATAAACGAATAAATACAATGCTTATACTTTCAATTCTTTATGAGAAATACCTACGGCAGATTTTTCTGTAACTGTTCAGTGTGGAGTATATTATCTCAGATTTAAATTATATTTAAATCTGTGATATTATTAATTTAAATTAGATTATTCAATGAATTAGAGCAGAAAAAGAACAGTGAAAGAATGCGATACGCCTACACAAGGCGTGACTAATACACAATATAAAGAGCCATTGTTCTAATATTCTCTGCAAATGCAGTGGAATAATCGCTACTATTGTGGTAAAAACATTCTCCGTGGACAGCGACATATCCCGCTGACAAAATTGAGCGTTTAAAATTTATGCAGATGGTGTCAATGTAGTGTGGTATTATCATTGTATTTATAATACAATGGTATTATCTTGGCCCTCCTTGATAACGACCGCCGCTTAACTTCGGACGCCTTTTTCGTATCAATCGCCGTTTAGCATCCACCGCCTTATACACTCGAGAGGGGAAGGAATATCTCTCGCATCTTCCATAGATCGCCTCTTTGTTAACGGGCGCCGCTTAACTTCGAACGACTTTTTATAAAACTGTTAGCAGAAGTGCAAGGAATAAAGTAATTTCATTTGCTCATTTACTTTATCCAAGTGCGCCTTACAGGGTGAATAAAAGTAAATTCAGTGAATGTTTAATGTTTACTTAAATACAACTGTAACAGCTATATTACAAATCAATCTGAATCAACAGTATACAATTTAAAATAAATACAAAATGTACACTAGTTACAATACATTACATGCTGTGAAAAAAGATGAGACTTAGGCAGTGATACAATTTTTAACTACAAATATCACAAAATAATAGTATTACATTAACTTAATAAGAACAATAATACCTATGACAGTTTTTTTTTGTACAAGAAAATATATATGTATAAAAAATTGGATCTAATTCAAATTTAGAAACAGTCTTAAGCTGAGGGTAATAAATTCGTAAAAAAGATTGGCAAGATATACAATTTTGTTCCCCTATCATTGGCGAGTATTATGATATGCTTGGAAGAATCGAAACGTTTGGAATGGTATAGGTATCCAAAAGCTTTTAGTATTAAAAATATGTTTACAGGTAAATTTCAAGTTAAAAAAGCACAAAACTTAAGGTAGGTATATGTAGCCTGCAGGTCTAGTTCGATTTGCTTCAATGTTAGAGTAAAACAGCCATCTCTTTCCTGAGGTTCAACTGCTGTTAGCAGTTGCACGCCATTAAAAATGAGTTTCGGGAGGTTCGTGTATGTATTTGCAGGTGAAGGGATGCAAGAACCAAGAACAAAACGATTTGTCGTGCTTGTGCTTGCATTTGCCTCGTCGGTTATGCAAGTGCGACAAACGGCTCGTGTCTGAGTCTATACTGGAGCTTTCGCTATCGCGCACAACACTGTCGTAACCACTTTCAGCTCTTCGCGATATGGCGGCCGGGCTATGCTTTGACGTTCGAGGTGTAGAGTCGTGGCCGCTATCGTAATCGTCAGACTGCTTTTGGTTTAACTTAATCGAAGTGAAACCGCCTTCGATGCTAATTATGTTTCGATTTATTCTCTCGGTGGAAGGAAGACTGTTGGGGGGAGTTAGAGGACGACTAGATTTTACTTCTTCCGGCGGAATTATGTTACTATAACTACGTTTACTACCAGCTATTGCAGAAGCGCCATTTCCGGGAGTCCGTTCCGACTCTTCGCGTAAATTCGGATTCGAGGCACCATCGGGATGTCGTAAGTGTGCCAGAGTATCACTATCCTTCGGGTATTTGTGGCAATACCTTTGAAATCTCCTACTGATCGGAGGGAGAGCGGACTCGGTAGCACTCAGTTCATTGTTACTAAACGATAAATGAGCATCGTCATACCAATGCTGAGCTGTGGCAGGTCTGGTCATACTTACTTTGCAGTTCTCGCAAAATTTTTCTTCGTCGGGAATGTAGGCCGGCTCACTGTATATACTGCTGGTTTCGAGACCGTTGACTCCATACAACATGTCAGATAGCGATAAAGATTCACAGCGAGTTAGGGGTTTTAAATTAGGCTTTAACTGTTTATACACATCAGAGCCTGTAACACCAGCTTTTGCCAAGCTATGAGAATACAACTCGTGCAATCGCGCCAGTTGGTTAAATTTCTGTTGTGAGACCTCGTCAGACATGTCGTTTTTAATGTAGGGATTATCAGGATCTTCATAATCGTCGTTGTATAGACCGTACTTAGGATCATATCTATGCCTTGGTAATATGCGCTCCAAATCCGTATAAACGGACATAGAGTCCGTAAACGTAGACACTACCGTTAAATTTTCTTGGCTTAAAATTCTCAACGGATGGTCCAGCGGATTTTCCTGGTCCACCTCCGGCAAGGGATTTTCGAGGATTCCCATGCAAAACGCGATATCTTCCTCTGTCACTTGCAAACAACAATCTTGCGTGGGTACCGGTTCCAGAGGTTCCTCAACTTCTATTATTTCCAAAATCTCATCTTCGTCACTGCAAATGTTGTCGTCTAGGTCATCCTCGTGGGCCGATTGATGAGAAATTAAACGTTCTTTAAGAAGATTGTCCAAGCTTTCCATAGAAACCTCCCTACTACTGAGAGGTTGGATCAAAGGCAACGCGGGCGGCATTTCTACTGCTTCTTCATCGTCTTCAAATTCTTCTTCGATCGCTATACTAAATTCTGCTTCTCTCTCTTCGGGCGTCCTGCATTCTAAAATCGCATCGTTGTTTACTTTCCCACTTGAAAGCTTTAAGCCCGTTCTAATGACTGATTCTTCAATGTTTTCGTTTTTCTGGCTATCGATCGCTTTTAAAACGTCTTCGTCGTACGTTTTAAATTGCGTTAATTCCTTGAACTGTTCTTTTCCCGATTTTTGGTCGTGAATTTTTATGTAAGACGATTGTTTGCGTTGAATTTGCGAAGTTTGATGCTCGACCCACTTTCTGATCATGTTCTTCTTGTGACTGTCCATGTATCCGTAAGCTGCGGAGTCCGCGTGCATGGGACCATCAATCCACGTCTCGCGCTTTTTTACGTGACAAGGTTCTTTCATTAAATGTCTCGCTTCCGCGACTTTCGATTTGGAAATGCGGGGTCCGTCGATCCAATGCTCGTCACTTCCTCCGTTAACAGAATGCTTTATACCCTCTAACAATTGCGTTTTACTTTTCGTGGACGGAATGCGGCTGGGTGATGACTTGGGACTATTTGTGTGCGCCGGAGAAGTTTTATTGCTTTGACAACTAGTTTTAATAGACGGGCGATGAGTGGACGTTTTTTCATCAGACACCGATGGCTTCTGAAGTACGGAAACTTTGTTTAATCGTTGTTCAGCCGTTGAGCCTCTTAACGCTTTGCTCATGGCGCAACGATTATCCCCCGAGTTTAGGCTGGGTATGTAAACTGGTGGATGTTCGCCATCGGTCGCGTCGTCGGCTGGACCGACGTAAATAACTGTGTCTGCAGATAAATCGCTGCTGGAGGGATCGGGCTCGCTGCTTGTCCCCGTGGTTCGCGTAGCCTCTTCCCCAGAACTTCCGCCCGAACCATTTCCTACCCCTGCCGATACAAATTTGATTCTCCTCCTACGCATTCGATGAATTCTTGAAGCGAGTTGCACCGTCGTAAGCGTGTCCAAGTAATTCTGTGCGTAAGATGAAACATGAGCTATCATCGCGGCGTGGCACGTCAGCGAATTTAAGCAATCTTTTAGCAAGTGCGTCAACTTGTGCTCCTTGTATGGTAAATGCTTTTGTCCATTAAAGATTGCCAGTAAAATATTACCGAGTCCCGACAGGGGGATGCCGCCACTCGATTTTCCGCGTTCCGAATTCCCCAGGTCGAACAGATGCAGTCGACTTCTGCCTCCGGCGACTGAAACAATTTTTCAGTGGAGAATTTTAAGATAAAAAAACCAGTTTAAGATACGCTACATTGGGGATTTTCTTAGAAATATACGATGCTAAGCATGCAAGAAACTTAGATAAGAAAACTCAATTATAATAAATTTTGAAGGCAATTAGAAACTTTTTTCTGCAGTACTGATTTCTAAATGGCAGAGAACAATTATTCGAATCTTACCTCCGCCTTTTCCCGCAACGCTATATTGGTACACGTGCAATGTAAATAACAGGTGAGAATTCCGAGCTTCCTCTTTAGTGGGGGCCCTCGACTCAATCGCAATGTCTAAATAATGTGCCGCACGTTCCGCTGTAGGTACACGAAGTTCACAATGTGGGGGTTGATTGCCAAATAAGGGATCGTCTCTTAGATATACACCGGGAGATTGTTCGGAATCTGAAATAATAAAGGAGTTAATTTGCTGCCATTTTCACAAGAGCTAAATGTCACCCCAAACACAATACCACATTTATAAACGTACATTGAAAACATTAAACATAAACAAAGGTAAAATGATGTATGAAACCTCAGAAATGCGTTCCTCTTTCATCCATCACAGTCGGGACACGCTACGAAAAGTAATAGACACTGCGTCTGAAGTTATAAAATAATCCATTTTATATGATTTGTCGTAAATTTAAGCGAAAATTATTTACTACATAAGAACTGGAAGTGCTTCCGTAACTGTAACTGACGCTTGTGTTGCTTTCATAATTTATGTGGGATTAGTTTTAATTAATTCGGCGATTATCTTAATGTCGTACTTGGATACACAATGGAAAGGAATGTTAGGAAACCAACCCTACCCTTTATCAATTAGTAGAATTCTAAGTATTCAAGTTTCTAAACTTATGAATACTATTGTAATAACGCATTGCAATTTCAAATGTTATCCGAAGTAAACTTAGTCGTGTTGGTTTAATAGCTAATTGAATATATATGCAAAACATGGGACATTACACCCTCGTCATCCTCTCATTTTTTACGTGAAAAACTGGACTGAAGATCGTTGCCTCAAACAAAAATTGGTCATATACATACCGACCTAAATACCAAAAGTACAGTTATAGCATTGAATATAAGGTGCTTATTCAATGGTTATAGTGAATATCGGCTGAAATAAAATTCCTGAAAAGAGTATATAATGTTACCTAGTTTAGTTAGATTATTATTATTTTCCAAAAGCGTCTTAAAAAACTCACTTGTAGTCCTAAGTTTGCATAGATAAAAAAAATGAATGTAAATTGACGCATCTTATTCTCACTCGAAGTGTGAGTTAACTCAAAATATAACTGGCAGTCGTATAAAATTGAAAATACTGTGGCCGAAACCTAATTGAATAACTTGACAAATAACCCCTAAGCCTAAATTTTCAGAAATTTATCCGCATTAGTTTTTTATTTTTTATTTATTTTTATTGTCCCTCTCTTGTTATAATAATGAGTTTTGTATCGATTTATTTATAAACGCGCGCCTATGACTGAGTAAGGACGATTATCGCTTGCGCATATGCATACACGCGGTTTATAAGGCAGAAAGTCGCGTATCTCCCTACTTGTGTATATTAAAAACGTTCTGGATATTAAATATCCCAGTCACTGTTTATTTTTTTAGATGCAAATTTTATACTATATAATTATTTAACATTAACGCAAATACTTAATCAGAATCTAGTACCGATTCGGATGTTTCTTGAGAGGTTTTCGAAATAATCTGAACCTTTTTCGTGAAAGAAATTTTGCAAGTGGGCTTCCGTCCCATACATTTACAGGAGCCAATGCACGGTAATTGCTTTTTTGAGCACGAACAATGAAATCTGGAACATCCTAAAAAATAAAGTTATGTAAAATAATACAAAGACAAAATGTAATTAACAAAAACCTTTTCTGCAGTTACATTTAGCCAAAATAGATGTATCAGCTGCAGGCATTGATGGTTTCGTTGTAAGAACTGGAACGAAATTATTCCCAACAATTTTCCAACCATTTTCCAGAGGATCTGGTAGAGACGGTTTTGGGTTAAGACTGTTCAGCCAAATGTATGTTTGATAATTCACGCGTAAACAGTGCTGATAAAGACTACCTGCAGTAGGTGGCAATTTGTGGATGGAATTTGAAGAAACCATGATACTGCGTAAACGATTTATACAACTTATATCAGAAGTTGTGCATAATTTAATGACAAATTGAGTCATATTATTGAATGTATCTTCATTAAGTGTCGAAGATCCAACACCGTTTAGCAAATCATGATACAACAAACCAATTTTCCAGCATGTTGTTTTGCCAAGTCCAACAAATTGACTTGTAGAATCACAACCAGTAATTGCGTGAAATGCAGGCAAGTTTGTCAATAGACTTGGGGAAATGACTAGTTCGTGTACTGCTATAAACCGTACGTTGTCGTTCGTTCCAACTTTTACCCACACTTCCTCGGTGAGACGGTTTTTGAAATGAGCAAGTAAGACAAGAACGTCGGCATCTCTGCAGTCAATAATACACCTTGAATATCCTTCTAATTTTGCTTGTAGAATGTGCAGTAGGATTCTGGTATCTGCTTCTTCGTGTGAAGAGGCAAGTAAATCACTACAAAGAGGAAAATTTGATCTATATTCAGTAACGTCTTTGAATCCTCCACTGGTTACAAATGTTAAACTAGAATCTTTCGAAAACTCATATAACTGACGACATAAAAAATCTGTTAATTCTTGCTTGTTAAACGAGGAATGAATAAATAAATGCCACATCTGTAGATACATGGTCAATTGTACATTTTATATTTTCCTCTTGCGAGGTTCTCTTTGTACGCGTGCAAATGTGCAATCTTTGATAGATTTTTCATGGTAGTGGTCCATGACCATCAATGCCTGCTGATACATCTATTTTGGCTAAATGTAACTGCAGAAAAGGTTTTTGTTAATTACATTTTGTCTTTGTATTATTTTACATAGTTTTATTTTTTAGGATGTTCCAGATTTCATTGTTCGTGCTCAAAAAAGCAATTACCGTGCATTAGCTCCTGTAAATGTATGGGACGGAAGCCCACTTGCAAAAACTTAATCAGATTATTTCGAAAACATCTCAAGAGGCATCCGAATCGGAACTAGATTCTGATTAAGTATTTGCGTTAATGTTAAATAATCATACAGTATACAATTTGCATCTAAAAAAATAAACAAGTTGACTGGAATATTTAATATCCAGAAGGTTTTTAATATACACAAGCAGGGAGATACGCGCGCCTTATAAACCGCGTGTATTATGCGCAAGCGATAATCGTCCTTACTCAGTCATAGGCGCGCGTTTATAAATAAATCGATACAAAACTTTTCGGTAATGTGAAGTGAATTACAAATAGTGGTTCAGAATGTCCAGAATACGCTCTACAACGTTATTAATGGATATTTTTTGATCAGGATGCAAATAAATTAGATACGACGAGTTGAAGCGCTAATTTGTCAAAATATTACGGTCGAGTTCGTTAGACGCCGGCGAAAGTTGAGATTCCTCATTTAATCCCGTGCTTTTCGGTCGTAAAAAACACTAAATAATAAATAGTTGTATCGGTTTCACATACCTGAGCTATGGGCAGTGCAAAGTATATATTCAATAAATTCAAAATATGCAAAAAAAAATTTGGGGTGTTTTTTACAATTTACCCTCTAGAGCCACCCCGTACAGGACGATTTTTGACGCCTTCTGGATTTTGATATTTCTAATGATCATGCATCATTTAAAATTGGTTTCAGCTTTTAACCCCGAAGTGTAAACGAAAATCATTTCTAAACGACTTTGGCGATTCTGTGCCCTCTACTATGTAGATCGTCAGCATAAAGATGATATTGAAGGTGTTGAAGCCATGTAGGTGAGTCGTAGGTAAACACTGAAAAAAGTCCGAGCACACTTCCTTGCGGAACACCACTTTCAATCTTCATATAACTTGACGATGCACATGCACACATGCAAGTCTAACTCTTTGAAAACGATCGTTAAGATAAGCTTGAAACCATGTTAAACTAGGACTATTGTCAAAACCTAGATCCCGCAATTTGGCTACAAGCAACTGATGGTTTACCAAATCGAATGCTGTGCTTTGGTCGAGTAGAATTAAAATGGTACATACATAGCGATTAATCATAACTTCAATAACTATATGAGATGTCAGTTATGATTTTCAAGAGGGCAGTATTGATACCGTATTTTTTTCTATAAGCAGATTGGTTTGCAGGTATGATGCTGTAATGTTCCAAATACTTTGTAATTTGTGCAGCAAGTATTTTTTCAAAGATTTTCGCAAATGGCGACAGTAAAGATATAGGCCGTAGATCATTTTAAGTTGTGGGATTTGCGACTTTAGCTAGAGGTAAGATACCAGCGGTCTTCCAAATTTGTGGAAAAATGCCATCACGTAAGCAATTATTAAACAACTTTAGAACAGAATTCAAACAGTGCGGAATGATTAGAATTATCATGTTTATGTTGAGATTATCTGGCCAAAGGCTTTCGACGAAATGTTTTTTAACGCCCTATATATCTTGCTGGGTAATCGAATTAAAAGTGAAAGATGCATTTTTACACCTCACCGTGCTATTGAAAAACTGAATCAAGTTCAAATCGATTGTTGAATCACCAGCAATATTTAAAAAGTACTCATTCATGGCCGCGGAGTCTTGTAATCATGCAGGTATCTCGTTCCTAGCACTCGCTTTTTTGTACGTACGTAGGTACACCCAACTGTTGCAAGTGATACTACACTTTTTTCGAATTACTTTTGTTGGAATTCAACATGAATTGTACAATGCCTTCTTTTCACGAGATATCGCTGACTTAACATAATTTCTTATCTCGCAGTAATATTGCCGACTTGCTTCAGTTCTTTTATTTAAAAAGATCCTGTGTGCCTTGTTTCTTAATCGAATGATCTCAATAATGTTATGGCTTATAATTTTTCCTTGGCGTAATTTTGATAAAAGGAGCGTTTAGATCAAACAACTCAAGAATAAAATCATTAAGCATTTTAGCACCTTTATCAAGGTCCTCGCACTGATCAATCAGTTGCCAGTTAATACGTTCAGCATCAAGAGCAAAAGAGTCAGTATCAATCTTCTTAAAATTTCGTTTTGTTATGGGCTCCTTGAATTGTACCCACGCACTTATAAATTAAGATGGGCTGCTAATGCTGAATTAACAAATGACACCTACATGGGGGCCGCCATGATGTGCACTCACTTGGCGCGAAATTCAAATCAACTAATAAACAAGCATTAACCCAACATTAACCTCAGGTTTTCTAAATAAATTACTGTGACACATGAATTTTCCAAGGCTGCAATACTCTCAAAACTTGAGCACTAGGAAAATTCCCCTAGAAAATAAATAAAATGTGCACATCATGGC